AATATTAATACCCCAATTTTTATAAGGGAATTATAAAAGAGAATATCTTTATTTTTAGGAAATACATACTGAAGTATTTAGGAATAAAAGAGGAACATGTCTACAACTTACTCCCAAATTTTTCAGGAAAAGAAAAAGATAGATAGGTAGATAGAGATAAATAAATAATGATAATGATTTAAGCAAATATGGTAAAATGTTAACATTTGGAGAATCTGGGTGAAGAGTATAAGGGTATTCATTGTACTATTTTGACAAGTGTTCTGTAAAACTCAAATTATTTAAATGTAAAAAATGTGATCGTGGTAAAGAAAGCAGTGCCAAGCAGGGTGTGTAAAGGAGGAAGACATAGTGGCTCTGGTCCAGGTGGCCAGGAGGAGGAAGTGACAAAGATCTGGACGCTGTGTGGACAGTTCAGACAAATGAAGCACTGTCCCCTGACAGACAGAGACAGAAGTCGTTGGCTCCTTTTAAAATCAGGAACTGTTACCAATCTGGAAAATAAATCCTATTCTTCTTGCCAAACAAAACAAAATAGGGATTTCCCCTATCAGGATAAATACTAGTGTCTGGTCACATGGGGATATCTTATCAAGGCCTGCATGTCCACAAATGATGAAAAACTCATCAAAACGGTTGGACTTGAGAAGCACACATCAGCTGAGCTGTTGTTCCTCTCTGCAGAACATGGCAGATGGAGCCTAATGTGTACAACCGGTGGAATAGAAAGATGCAATTCTTTGTGTTTGTACCATTTAGTGCAGCCACCCAGACATGTTCCCAGTAGACTGACAGCCCTTTGTACAGACTTAAGATGGGAACCACAGAAGTACATAAAGCCGTTCAGCAAAATCATACTCACCTGCATGTGATAAAGAGGGGATGTCCAACTTACATTTGAAAATAAAATGCTGCCTGCCCCTGTTACTATGAATCTTGCTGTGACTAAATGTAATGATCTCATTTAACCCTTGGCATCTTCACACCCAATACTTTAGAAAAGACAAAACTGAGGTTCAAAAAAGTTAAGTATTTGCCCCAAGATCACACAGCTACCTGGTAGCAGAGCCTGTATTTGAAGCTGGGTCTTTTGGGCCTCAGATTTTCTGCTCTTTATAGCACTGCACCTCATTTCCCCTTTCTTCCTTCCTAACAGGAAGAAGCATCCGGCTCAGTAGACACTGATCTCGCCCTCAGCTACAGAGATAGGCCCTATAACTCTAAGGCTAACACTCTTCCCCTTGCAGGGAGCAGTTCGTGATTGGGATTGCAACCCAATTTGGGCCAATAAAATACAGTAGTCCCCACTTATCCACAGAGAGATATGTTCCAAGACCCCAGTGGATGTCTGAAACTGCGAATAGTACCAAACCCTCTATATACTGTTGTTTCCTATACATACATACATACATTTTAACTTAAAGAAAATACTTTACAGCTTCTGTTTGGCATATCTGAATTGCCAACATCAATACACTGGAGCTTTGGAGCCTTATTAAGTAAAACAAGGGTTACTTGAATACAAGCATCGCAAAACTGACAGTGGGTCTGATGACCAAGACAGCGCCTAAGTGTCTAACAGGCAGGTAACACATACAGTATGTAGACGCTGGACAAAGGGACAATTCATGTCCTGGGGGGGGGGGACGGAGCAGGACAGTGGGAGATTTTATCATGCTCATTGCTCAGAATGGTGTGCAATTTAAAACACATGAATTGTTTATTTCTGGAACTTTCCATGTAATATTTTCAGACTCTGGTTGACCGCAGGTAACTAAAACTGCAGAGAGTGAAACCATAGAAAGCTAAACCATGGCTAAGGGGCTACTGTACATAGAGAAATCTGCTGGGGCCTTCTGAGGTTCTTCCTCAATCTTATGGGAGTCTTTGCAGAAACAAGGCCTTCTCTCTAGCCTGAACTCGAATGAGAAATCATAGGGTCATCACAGCTTTTTCTGGCCAACATCTTAGGACTACCAGTGGGACTACCTCAGGATGAAACGATGCTGTGGATGCAGCGTGGAGATATGGAGCAAGAGCAGGAACATGGGCTCTTGATCCCTGCTTCTACCCATGTATGTTCTGGACAGTCTCTTGCTTTTCCAAAAGCTCTGCTCCTACAGTTATTGCTTTCTCTTCCCTGTCAATATCTCCCTCTGTTCTGGGTATTCCAAATGTGTTGAATTCTTTAATATTAAAGCAAATCTCCTTTGACTCAGTATTCTCTTCCAGCTACAGCACTTTTTCTCCTCTCCCCTTTTCCAAAACTTTCTGTCTGTACTTTTTCACCTTCCATTCGTGTTTTAACCCATTGTAGTGTGGCTCCTGTTGTCACTGCTCGCATAGAACTGCTCTAGTCGACTTTATTGCTAACCTTCATCTTGCCAATGCCAATGGGCATTTCTCTGTTCTCATTTTTCTTGAGTTCCTGGCAAGATTGAAATGAGTTGAACATCCCCTCCTTCCTGGAATACTTTCCTATCTTGGCTTCCATGACTCCATGTGCCTCTGGTCTTTCCTCTACCCCACTGGCTCTGCTTGTCTCTCTCCTACATTGACTTCTCCCACTCTGTTGAGTTTATGAATGTTGGTTTGACTCAAGGCCTGGTCTTAGGTCCTCTACTCTTCTCTATTGGTTTCATCTCTTCCTGTATTCATTCAACACTCAATCAGTATTTATTGAGTGTCTACTATGTGCCAGACTCTGTTCTAGGCACTAGAAATAGAGCAATGAATAAACAAAGGTCCTGCCTTTATAAAGCAGACATTCTAGCAGAAGAGAAGGTAAAACAAAAAAAATTGTATGTCAGGTAGTAATAAGTGCTATGAAGAAGAATAAAACAGTGATAGTGACGATGATGCCAATGCTGTTTTGAGTTTTTATTAATTAATTAATTAATTTATTTATTTATTTATTTATTTATTTATTTTAGGTAGGATGGCCAGGGGAGGGTGCTCTAAGGAGGAGGTGACATTATGAGAGAGAAAAGTTAAGAATGATTCCAGGTTCTTGGTTTGTGTGAAAGAAAGAATGATGGTGCCATTTATTGAAATGAGGAAGACTAGGGGAGGAGGAGATTTGGAAGGGGAAAATCAAGAATCCTGGTTTGGGTGTATTCAAGGGTCTTATGGACATATTATGCGGTAATTAGAATAGATTAAGTGTCTCTTGCAGATGATTCCTTCTGCAGGCCTTAGGGAGGCCTTTTCTGACCACTCTGTCTAAGAGCATCCCACCTGTCACTGCCCCAGCCCCGAGTCTCTATCATTCTCCCTAGTTCATTGTCTTCATGATAGTCGCCACAATCTGTAATAAGAAAGCTTGGCTATTGTTTGGTTGCCCGTACTAAAATGAAGTCCTAGGAGAGCAGAGACCTTGTCTGTTTTCTTCATAGCTGCATCCCCTGGGCTTAGTACAGCGCCCGTCGCAGAGTAAGGACTGAATAAATAACTGCTGAACGAGAGAGAACAGAGCGTAGGCAGGCCTCCGGAGAGGTCAGGGGAACCTGGTTCTTGTTTGAACTCAGTCACTAGCTACATGGCTTTGGGGAAGTCACCTCTGTGGCATTTCCTCAATTTCAGGAGTCATTTGATCAGGTGATTTTTAAGGGCTGATTTGTGCACTTTGAAATTATGTCTAAAATCCAGAATTTTAATGTGTTTTATCCTAAACAAATTTGTACCCAGAATCTCATTTCAGTAACAACAATGCTGAAGGGCTTTCTGATGCAAAACGAGTGCCAATTATTAGGGTGAATTTTACCATGCGGATCCTGAAGGGTTGGTTCGATATTCCCACTCCTTGTCCCCCTAAATCCTCAGTCTTGGGTAGCCTTCCATTTTGCTAGGCTCCACTCAAGGACTCAGGAAAAACAGTTGGAAAAAAAGGAGAAGTGAAGGAATTCATTTTCTGGAACATTACTGAGAGCCTATTCACAAGTACAGTTCAAGCCTTTTCAAGCGCGCTGTCGTATTTCATATTTTCCTATGTAAGGGTTATTTGAATATTAAGGTATATCTTCACAAAAACCCTGTGAGGTAGGTATCAATGCCATTTCACTTATGCAGGAAGTGAGGTTTAGGGAGATGAACTGATTGGCCCTATTTCAGATAAGTGGCAAGTGGCAGGAAAAAAATTGGAGTCTATCTTCCCACCCATTGTGCTTTCCACCACACGGCAGATGCCTAGGGCAAACTCTCTTGGGTATAATCAGTTTTCAGTAGACTCAGGTCTATTTGTTGAATCAGCAAATGAAAATAAATAGGATTAATAAACACTCTTAGAACCCAGTGTTCTAAACAACAAAACAGGTTACATTTCAACTCATCTGGGAAATCCTATTGCAAAACTATTAGTTACTATGTAACTTAAATCCAGAGTTAGGTGGAAACAATACCACAAAAAGTATCAACTTGTCGACAGAGGCAAGAAAGATTTCCCTTCTGAAATAGCAAGGTTTCCCAGGGCTCCTTCTGCAGAAGGGAGAGGGGGATGCCAGGAATATCTATTCCCCGCATGACCATCCATCCATTTCGGTTCCCTTTTGCCCAGCAACTTTTGAAGACTTCACTTTCAAAAGAATCCTGTTCTTTCTTAATGGGAAAGGAATACTTTTCGCACTAATGTGTCCTTATTATAGTTCTCACTCATGCGTTTGTGTGCACGAATGAGAATATGAACCTGTGCCACAATAAATATGTAAAGCTGTACATGTGAATATTAGCGTTGGGCACGATTCTGAAGGAATGGCTTTTCTTTTTAAACCCGCAAATCATTTGGCATTAGTATGAAGCAGGGAAGAAAAACAACAACGCAGAAGGGGTGTAGTTCCTTTCTCTTCTAGTGACAAGCCAACCCTTTTTGCCTCTAAATTTAAAAGGGTCTGGAAAAGCGGATTGGGTGTTGTGAATAGAGGGAGTATTATTTTTTCCTTCCCTACCAATAAACGACGACAAAAGCAGGCAGCTAAGAACTAAAATATCAATAAAGCAAGACAATGAATAGAAAAACTAATAAATAATATTTAATTTGTACAAAATAGCTGTCAAGTGTCCAAGAGTCCCCAGCGAGCAGAAAGCTCCCCGCAGGCAGCGCCTGAGGCCTGTGTGCCCTCAGAGCAGCAGGAGGGAGCCCAGCAGCAGCTCGCCCCGGCCCAGCAGGCGGCCCCGCTCCAAGCCGCGGCCCTTGTTCTCGGCCTTGACGCGCACCGCCAGGCAGCGCACCTCGTCCTCCGAGAGCCCGTCGAAGCAAAAGTCCTGGTCGAAGACCGCCTTGCAGCTCCGGCGGACCACGGCGCTGCGCCTCCGGTGCGTCTTGCCCGGCGGCTGCAGGACAAAGCTCACGCGGCAGCCGACGGCGGGGAACTCAGCGGCTCCTTCAGCCGGGCCCTCGGCGCGGAGCAGCCGGATGCGGAGGCGGCCGCTCGGTCGACTGTACTCGGCGGCCAGGCGCAGGGCGCCGCCGGCGCGGCCCAGAGTCACTGTGCCCTCGGCCTCTAAGCGCTCGGGCTGCGGGCCTGGGGGCGGAGGAGGGGACGCGGAGGGGTCCCGGGCCAAGCCACGACTCCTCCGGGCCCGCAGCGCGCGGCTCAGCAGCACTTCAGGGGCGCGCAGGAGGCGGCGGCCGCGGGACCGCGGGCTCAGCGCGTCCCGGGGCGGACGGAGGCCGCCGGGGACCGTGGAGGCGCGGGAGGGGCCATCGCCCGCGGACCCGATGGGGGCGTCTCCTCCGCCGCCGTAGGTGTGGGCCCGCGCGCGGAGCACGGGTTCGGAGGCGGGCAGCCGCAGGAGCGCGGAGGCGCCGGGGTCCCCGAGGAAGAGCGACTCCTTGCGGCGGGTGTGCGGGCTCTCCAGCAACGCGCAGAAGCCATAGGCGGTGCGCACGCGGGGCAGGTGCGGCAGCGAGAGCGCGGCCTGCGAGCGCGGGTCCCAGTCCGTGCGCGGGGCGCTGTCATCAGCTCCTCTCGGCCACAGGTCGGGCTCCGCCGCGCACCGCCGGGGCACAGCGGCGGCCGGGGGCTGGGACTCAGGCGCGCAGGGCGCCGGCAGCCGCGGCGGGATGCAGAACTCAGGGATGCGACCCGGGGTGAGCACATTGGAGAAGGCGGGCTCCGGTGCAGCGCTGCCCGCGCTGGAGGCTCGGAGTTTCCCGAGGAGCCGCATCCTGTAAGGCTGGGGCTGGAAGTGACGGGAAGAAGCGCTCCTGCGGGGAAGAGAAGCTGCTGAGTTGGGACGCCTGAGGGCCCCCTCGAGACGTGGCTGCACCCCTTCCCCGGGCCCTCTGAGGGTACCAATGCGTTTACCTCCTGGATCCGTCTCAGCCGAGTTCCCGCGCACCCACAAACCCGCCCGGCCTTACATTCATTGGTACAAAATAAACGACAAAATAGAAATCAGACCTTTTCCTCTTCCTCTGTCCCTCTGGGTCAAGAGTTGCAAGAGTTTAGTGTTCTTGCCTCAAGGGCGCGGATGAGTCGTCAGCTTCGGCACTGTGGCGGAGACAGTGGTGCTCCTCTATTATACCGGTTGCCTGAGTCCCGCCCCTTGGCCGGGAGCCCAATCCCTGGAGGCCCTGGACAGTCCGCCTTCCGGGCCACTCCTTCCCGCAGACGCTGGGCGGCCCTGCAGCTGATGCTCACGTGTGAGCGGAGCTGTCGCTGGAGCAGGCACCCTCTGGTCAGCCCTGGGACTCGCATCCGCTCTGCGTGCCCGAAGCCCCGTACACAGGCCTGTGAGAGGTTGCAGGTGAAGACAGGGAGCCTCGTCGCCCCGTCCAGGGACAATTGGCAGCTGAAAATATTGGCGGCCTCTTGGAGAAAGTGAATTCCTTTTTGCTAGGAGCTAAATCCTGCCACCCTTCACAGACTTGCGCGCCTTAAGGACTTCCATTTTACTGCCTCCACGCACCTGCCGTCTCTAGACCAATACGGTTTCCATCGTACTCGTGTATTAGTTAACGCATCTCTGTGCTGCACGCTGGCTTCCTTAACAGCATAGAGCCTGGCTCAATCAATGCTAAATAGTGGTGACGTGGGTGAATTAATGTATGCAAAAGTTTCTGAATGACTTCAGGCTCTGCCTGTCATCTTGTCACAAAAGATGGTGCTTCTGGATCATGCCCTAGAAATAAAATATTTCCAAAGTGACCGCTTTTCTCTTTGTTCCAGCACGGAGATACCCAGTTAGAAAGTCTAACAGAAAATCTAGGTTGCATCATCCCACCCCAACCTTTATTTTCTAAAGTGAGAAAACCGGAAGCCCAGAGAGACTTGAGGAAATTCCATAAAGGTTAAATAAAGCTACTTAATGGCAGGACCTGGAATTAGCAATTTCCTGTTTATTTGGCTCTGCATGTGTTGCTGCCTGTTATCGGAAATGTGCTTTCTCTACTTTTTCTCTCTGTAGGAGTCTTGTTTATTTTCCATAATTCAGCCAGACATCATCCCTTCGGGACCCTTTACCCAACTCCCCCACCACAGTTCCTCAGTCCCTCCTTATGCCCTCCATAAGCCATCTGTGTATCACCACTGCCACATTTTGCATGCTGCTTTGGGATTTTAGGTTTACAGGTTTGTCTCCCCTAACGGACTGAATTTCTTGAGGGCAAGGACTGGGGAAATTCAACCAGAGTAGAGTTTGGGGGACCTATTATGAATATATGGAAAATAAAATAAAAGTGCTGCAATGCATAACCTGGTCTGCCTCCATCCCAGTTGCCCTATCCAAGGACAAGCCTGGCTGTCCTATTCATCTCTTATCCAATTCCAGCAGCTGGAGATACAATGCCAGGAAAAAAATAAGTGCTCAGTAAATATTTGATGAATTATATTGTGTTGAATTGAACCTGATTTACAATCCAGGTCTTATGACTGTCAGGTGCTTTTAACCACATATCT